TATTCTTCATATGATAGTTACGTTATGATCTGATCTAAGTATAATATCTACTAGACTGAATGTGGGAATGCTTTTGGCCGCGTTGGATTTCAACATTGTCGCCACAGCTGTTCCTATTATCTCGTCGGAATTCAATGCCTATAGCAATTCCTCTTGGCTAGGAACCGGATTTCTCGTTACATTTGCCCTTGTTCTGCCTATCTACGGTAAGCTTGGCGACATTTTTGGGCGGCGGAACATGTTTATTGTGGGAACCCTCATTTTCATTCTTGGAAGTGGCCTCTGCGGCGGTGCTAAGAGCATGAACATGTTGATCTGGTCCCGCGTGGTCCAGGGCATTGGTGGTGGTGGCATCTACGGCCTGGTCAATGTGAGTTGATTAAATAAAAGTATCGAGAGAATGCGGAAGTGTATAAACTGACTGTCTCGGAACAGATCATCGTCACCGACCTTGTTCCCCTTCGTGATGTCGGAAAATACATCTCGTTTACAGGACTGGTCTGGGCTATTGCGGACGTTGCTGGTCCACTCCTGGGCGGCGCATTTAGTCAGTAAGTGTCTCATGCTATTTTAGTATGGCAACAAACACCTAACAATATTGGACAGATACGTCACCTGGCGCTGGTGCTTCTACATCAACCTGTGCATCTCCCCAATCAGTCTCATTATTACTGTCATCTTTCTCCGCATTCCGACCCCCAAGATCGACAAGGAGCGCATCAAAAACTTCGACATCATCGGCAGCATCACCCTCATCGGTGGTACTACCTGTCTCCTCCTGGCCATCTCCTGGGGCGGGAACAACTTCCCATGGAAGGACTCTCGCATCATCGGCTGTTTTGTGGGTGGAATTGCATTGCTCGTGATCTTCATGGTCTGGGAGCACTGGGCCAAGGATCCTTTCATGCCACCCGTGTTCCTCCGGAGCCGCGCCATCGTCGCCATCTTCTTCGCCGAGTTCTTTTACGGTGCGAACTTACTAGGAATGATGTACTACGTGCCACAGTATTTTCAACTGGTCTACGGCGACTCCGCCACAATTTCAGGCGTCGCTCTGTTGCCAATGATGCTAGGTCTGGCGATTGGTAACCCTGTCGCCGGCTGGGTCACCAGCAAGTACGGCCTCAGTCTGGCCAACGCATGGGTTGGCTCAGCACTGACCGTATTGATCAGCGGCCTGATCACCCGCTGGGCTGCGGGAACAAGCCGCGCAGAAGCGATCGTGGAGCTGATCATCCTTGGTATTGGGCAGGGTGCCGTCATGGAAGGTCTGCTGGTCGGGTCGCAGTTTTCGGTCGAGCCCATGCACATCGGTATAATTACGGGGTTGGTTATCTTCGTCCAGACTGTCGGTGATATCTTCGGTATCGCCATCTACGCCGCGGTCTACCAGAATGTGCTGCGAACCAAGCTGCACCACCTGTCCTTGAGCGCGGAGCAGATTGGTATCATCCTTTCGGATGTACAGAAGGTGAAGACGCAGTTCAAGGGTGAGTTACACCAATCAATCATCGAGGTGTATGCGGAGAGCTTGCAGAATGGTTGGTGGTGGCTATTTGCTTGTGCGGCAGGTTTATTGATAAGTTCGGCTTGTGCCAAGCAACGGAAACTATAGACTCTCGGGGAAATAGACTTTTCGGGAAAGGGTTATCTATCTAATCTTTGTGAAGGACAGGATATTGATGTATCATACACCTAGCAGCCATCCAAAAACAATGAACCCAGATAAAGGTTCCCAGAGGCGGCAATCAGTGGTCATCCTAGGATCCACGGAAGAGTCCTCTGGGATCGCTATATTCCTCGTAATTCTAAATTCCATATCTCCTCTGAATCTTTTTTTAGGCGGACGACGAGCTCCCACCTCCACGTGGTGCCCGCTGGGAACTCTCAGAGAAACAGCTTGGCTGTCTCCGAGTGCCAGGAGCTCAACAATGTGATTATCCTCTATCAACAACGCGCCGACGCGCCCGAAAATCGACTCCCGAACCTCTCGAAACAAACCAAACATTACAGCCCAAAACACCATAGTAAATGCGATATATTCTACACCTGTATCTTAACAACCACATTGTTATTTGATTTCAGTGTCATTCGATTGCCATCGATAAGACATTTTAACACTATATATCAATTTTAAGAAAATCGAAAAGCTGCATTATCATGGTATTGAAAATCACTGCCAAAAACCAAAAATATATATATCACAATCACGACGATATAAAACTTCTCTAAATCCGTAAAGAGGCTATAAATCATATAAAAGGCATTAAACTATAAGGAAACCTCCAAATAGACAACCGTTGTTGAGATATCAAGTTGTAATTTATCGCATTGACGAACGTATTTCACAAGCGAGTGACGCACCCCACCAAAACGCGTCAATTGATTTAAACCCTTCTTCTTTAACCACCTACTATGCCACCAATTCGCTCTCAAAGCTCTAGAAATTCAATAGAGCAAGAGGGTAGGATCTTATTAGCTATTCAGGCTTTTAGGAATCAAGAAATCTCTTCAATTCGTGAAGCGGCGCGCCGTTTTAATATGCCCGAGGCCACCCTCCGCCGCCGCCTCCGCGGTGTCTAAAACCGCGCGATTTCTCATGCTAATTCAAATAAACTAACAGAAATCGAGGAAGAATCTCTTAAAAAATGGATTCTCTCTATAGATCGACGCGGAGGGGCCCCCCGGCCTACTACCGTCCGAGAAATGGCGAATCTTCTCCTCGAAAAGCGGAACTACCCCGGTCCTTTCGGTCGGCGAAAATTAGGTTACGAACTTTATAAAAAGGCGTCCTCTCTCCTCCCGATTCTCGAAACGGTATAACTACGAGCGTGCGAAATGCGAAGACTCGAAGATTATTACGGAGTGGTTTAATCTTATTTAAGAAACGATCCTTTAATTTAGAATCGACCCTAATAATATTTATAACTTTAACGAGACCGGTTTCGCGATAGGATTAAGTAACCGCGAAGGTTATAACGAGGAGTGAATACTATAGTCGGCGAGCACTTTTATAACCTAGAAATCGCGAGTGGGTGATAGTAATCGAGTATATAAATGCTTCCGGGTAGGCGCTTCCCTCCATACGTGATTTTTAAAGGTAAAGTCTTTATTAAATCCTAGTTCGACGGCCTCCCGGAGGATTAGTGCTTCAAAGTTAGTCCGAATAGATAGACCTCCGATAAAATTAGACTTCGGTAGCTCGAAAAGCTCTTTATTCCTTCGACTTCTTCACGTACGAAGGAGGGGGGGGGGGTATCGGCTTCTAGTACTCGATGGTCACGGAAGTCATTTAACCGGCAAATTCGACGAAATCTGTGAAGAAAATAAAATCATACCAATCTGTATGCCTCCGCAGTCCTCTCCCCTTTTATAGCCTCTCGATATTGGCTGTTTTACGGTCTTAAAACGTTCGTACGGTCGGCTGGTTGAATTCAAAATGCGGAACGGGATAAATCATATTGACAAACTTGATTTCCTCGAAGCATACCCCACTGCACGAACTGAAGCTTTTAAATCGGAGACTATTAAAAATAGCTTCGGAGCAGCTGGTTTAGTGCCTTTTACACCCGATCGAGTGATTTCGAAGCTTGATATTCGGCTTCGAACCCCGACCCCCCCTCCGAGCCGGGGTAGTGAATCAAGCCGGAATTTCACCCCAAAAACCCCTTCTACAGAGAAAGAACTACGTCGTCAGGCTTCATCAATCAAAGCTTTACTTCGTACAAGATCTCGAAGCCCACCTAGCCCGTCAAATCGTGCCCTAGACCAGCTTATAAAAGGCTGCCAGCAAGCGATACATGACGGGATTTTGATGGGGGAAGAAATCAAGGCACTACGTTTGAAAACGAGAAGCAAAAGCAAAAGTGCACTCGATCTAAAAGGCAGATACCCGCTGCAGCAGGTCTTTCAGTTCAAGAGGTTTCTCAAATGATTACTGAGCCGGTAGAAGCAGCTGAAGCACCTACGCCTACCCCCGCCATACCTAGAGAACCGGCTTTGGAACCACATGTACGGGCGCCAGCGAGGTGTAGTGGGTGCGGATCAACATGGCATAAATTTAATAGATGCCCAGATAGATGATGATTTTAGTTTATTTAATTTAATGGCGTTTTGGCTGAGATAAATGCATTTAAATTTAGTAGGTTGGGTTAGTTGGACCACTCGCTTACCGACTACGTTACTATACTCTGCATTACGTATGTATATATCGGTCTTTTCGGTCTTCGCCGCATATTGGGTGATCGACTGGGACTACTGGGCGAATCATATCAATAGGATATGGCCCCCAAACACTCCATAAGCTTTTCTCGAAAATGTAAGTTCTGACATACTACTTTGCCTTTGTTCCAGACCATGCTACTCTGTAAATCACTACGTGCTTTAACGCATAAATGATCACATCAGGCTATGTCCTAGAGGTTGCCTCCGCCGTTTGGACTAGCCGTCCACGGGTGCCCAGGACAGACGACCTCGGGAGAATAAATTATTACTAAGCGTGCATTCGGGCCGTCGCTAGTGCCAAATCTAGCCGAAACAAAGGCCACTTAGGTACAGAGTACTCAGCCCCATCGACAGTCAGCTACGCTTGATGTTCTAGTCCTTCCAGGGCTGTTTGCCACTTCGCCTATCTATATATATACTCTGCCATATCCAGTTCCACTAGGGACGACCCTTTTGGCGATATCTATTCTGTCAGCAGCCCCCGATGGTCTCGCATCCTCGTCTCTCTGGTGCCCACCCGGTGTCGGAGCCCACCACGGACCACCATCAGCTAACCAAGCCACGGAAACAGGCGTGTTTAGTATGTTCCCATACCCTATTTGCCTCTCCTAAATTCGGAGCTAAACAATGATCCCCCATCAAGGCATGTCGTCGACGAAAGAAGCGTTGTGATGTAAGCCCCATACCGACCACCCACCGGCAGAATCCTGGCACCGAGGCTGACTCTGGTGATACAGAGCAATCAGCCCGCATGTTCGGCATGCAGTGGCTGGAAGATGGAATGTGTCTATGCTTCAGGCTCCCAGACCCCATTGGATTATGGGTTTCCCACCCCTAACAGCGCTCTGGAGATGGACCTTGCCGCCTTTGTTCAAGACTTGCCTACTACATCTTTTGATTTCCTACCGGAGTTGTTCCCGCTCCCCTCGGATAGTAACCATGGGGTGTTGGGGTGCGGCGAACAATATCCAGACGGTTTGACGCCGGTCGATCCTTTTCGGCCATCCTCAACGAACCTGTCTAGCTACCCTACGATCCCACTGCCATCCCCCGAGCAAAAGATCCAACTGATAAATGAGTTCTTTGATCGTTCTCATCATCTGTTACCGTGCATCCACAGGGAAACTATTCTAAATCGTTCGCGGGGATCGCAGGGCCCAGTGTTGTCGACGCCGTTGGAATGGGCCATCATGGCCACCGCCGTAAGGACCACTCGAGGCGCGATGGTATCTCGAGCAGACATTTTCTTGAAAACTGCAGTTGATTCACTCGCGCAAAGTCCCATTATACAGGTGGATAGTCAAGATGCACGGTCCTATTTCCCACGAACTGACAAAATGGTAGGAGAATGTCCTACGGGATTTGCAGGCAGCTGTGTGGTGTGTATTTTCGCTCTATCATTCTGGCACGATTGTCAAGGCCGTCGTGTTGCTGGCGCAGGCATACTCCCTAGCATGCTTGAATGGATTGAACAGACTGGATGATCCCAACCCGAATATGCTGGCGACCATGCGGTTCTCCCCATTGGAAGAGGAAGAATGCCGCTGCACACTATGGGCCCTCTTTATCCTCGACCGGCACATGAACCACCTGCTGGGCCGCCACTTCGTTATTGACGACACGCTCTGGTGCGTGAATTACCCTTTAGACGACCGGTCTCTTCAAAATGGCCTGCGCGCAGACCCAGAAGGCTACGATCGAGATCTTGCGGCGCTAGCGTCAGAGAAAACCAACGTTCCAATCGGGGCTTGTTTGACTCGTCTACTATGCAAGGTTAGCGTTATTCTCGGCCGCATTGTTACATACAAGAACATCAAGCCTATGCCTACAGGTGCCGACGACGCTCAGATCCGCCTGGCGGAATTCCACGAGCTCCAGTCTGCCCTCACATGCTTCTGGCTGTCCTTACCACCTTACGTTTATAATGTTACTGAAGTGCCACCTGAGAACGCGAGCCAAGCTTTCTGGTTGCTGATTGTCGCCCACACCTGCTCCACAATTCTTTTCTACATCACCGAGGTAGAGCGCCGCAGCCCCGGAGGTGCCAGTCTTCCCACCGAACGGGAGAATTTTATCTGCACCTATAAATCCGTGAACAAGGTTGTGACTGGGCTTCGTCAGGTGTCGGGCCTCGCAATTGACGCGGTATTAAACCCGATGCTAGCACCGTCATACTTTATGTGCTGTCGCTTCATTCTAGCGCAGTGGCGCCTGTCGCGGCAAGAGTCGTACCGCTTAGATCTGAACCTCGTTTTAAAATTGCTGGGACGGATGGCCCAGGGACAGGCGCAACTGCCGCGGATCTATAAAGATCTTATTGACTTGGAGATGGGGAGAGATATGCAGCCAGGAGGAGGCGTTCTTCAGTCCCTATTGCGCACGAATTATTGCTTTATGATTTAGGGCGTTGTATCCGATTCACGATCTACAATAACTGATGATTGATTCTCTATGTCATGGATCTGGCCGAGTGCGGTGCGATAATGCTAAAATAATACTTGCAAAGGGCTTACTGTTTATAATGGGGATTGGGTTAGAAAAGTCGAATGTATGGAAGTCTTGAGCGGCTATGGCAAAAGGAACGACGTTGGCGAAATAATCTTTCTTCAGAGAGAACGAAGTGCCGTGTCCATGATCTTAGTCACACAGTTCAAACATGCATTATTTTAAGCTACGGGCCCAAACGGTATTGAAGGCTTCCTCCTACCACCTCCTCTTTGTTCTTGAATGTCAACCACAAGCCAGTCATGCAGATTCCGACCATAGTGCACGCACTACCGGCCACGACGTTGCTAGTAGCTGCTTCGTTCTTCTATTATAGTCTCGTCGAGCAGTTCAAAAAAGCTTATTACACTACAGCCTCGACCTTACCGTGTCGACGCCGAAGATTGTTCTACAGTTACCCTATGGGGCCTAAGGCTTCCCAACACATTAAGACAAAGAAATGAAAGAGACCTACCTCAAAGAAACACACAGCCTTATGGCAGTTTGTATACAGAATCTCTCACCAGGAAACAGATCAACTTCATGTTTTGTCTATTATTTACCAGCTTCTACCATCTTATGAGTACATATATAGATAATCAGTATTTACGGGGGTTCAGATCAGGGAGATAAGCTCAACCTTTAAGAATTGTACTATTAGTACACAGTCTGCGTGCAAACTGGCAGTTTTCATACCCAACCTGGCTTATTTCCATCTTTTCTGGGAATTCACGTCTAATTTTATCTATGATACCCGTGGACTGGTATGAGAGGAAGTGGGTGATTGTAGGAAATATGGTAATATAAAGCATTTAGAAGGAACACTGCTAACGAGCGCCTCAAGTTCAGTCGCACAACCTTAGTGTGGGTATACGGGTGGATTAAGAAGACCTTATCGATAAGACGCTATACATGAAGGTGTACAGGCCAATAATGTCATGTTATTCTAGACTCCAGTCAAATACGCGGTCTTAACCATGCTCTTTATACATCTTCCTTCCAATCACTCAGCTTCCACGATTGCACTCCATCCTCAATATCCAACCTGAACGTAGTGAACCGAATCTGCTCATACATTGTTGTAGCAGCCGCTCTTGCTTGAGCATGCCAAGGTCCGCGACCACCAAGTCTTGCATCATTTCGATTGCGCCAAATGCCTAGTTGAATTGATCAGGTTCACTGGTCAAAAGGGGAAGCCGAGATAGAAGAGCCAAGTACTCACAAGTTGCCAGATTCTGATGCTTGTCATTCTTCGCCCCAAACCAATACTTCAACAACCCCCCACTAGCAATGGCCTCCTGGTGCGAATGCGCATCAAGCTCATAAAGACGGTCCGAGTCAATACCCGGCAACAGTATTGACCGGAAAATAACAACATAGTACGACTGCAATATCCATGTGTGGTCCTCTGCCTTTGAGAAAGCTCGCAATAGATCAAACACCTCTGTCCAATTGAATGATTCCGTGTATTCAGCGGTGGCGTAGTCGTCGCGAATAGGTTTGAGATATGCTAACGCCAATGCGAAGAGTCGGTCTTGTCTTTCCAGTGCAGCAATATCCAGCAGATGGGGGACGCTGTTGTAAGGCGATGCAATGAGTCGCGTGTCTGTTTCTGTATCTGGGTATTGCCTCCCGGGCTGTAATTGCAGTTGCAATGATGCCGCAGCTTCAAATCTCAAGGGATCGAATTCTGTAGTGACATGGCTATGATGCAGGAGTCGAGTCAAGCTTGAAACTTCTTGGTCTTTGCCCTTGTGTGGGAGGCTTTTGGTAGCCGGGGCTGCGTCGCTGAGGACCGGGTTGGCTATGGTAAACGTCATGTTTCAAGGCCACTGTGGATCTTATTAATTCCCAGAAAGATTCAAAATTTGAGGGAAATAAGAAATTGAAGCCAAGCAACGTCCGAAATAATGTCGGCAAAAATTCGGAATGGGGAGGCGAATCTGAGTTTTATATAGACCAATTTTTATATGGTACGCAATATCGAAAAGAAATTGCGGACAGTTTATATATTCTCCTGACCGCTATACTATCCTGTACCACATTCGGTGATTGTGTGCTGGGCCAGACAGCGCACGCAATGTGGGCGAATTGGAGATTTAGAGTTGTCCTTATCGTTTTAGGTGGTCAATTGGGTTTATCAGGTCTATTTAGTCCTATCAGCTCTAGTAGTTACTGGCATCCAATCCATACTATCTCGTATTAAATCCTTCGAGTTGTTCTTTATCGGAGAATCCTGAAACATCCACGTGCTGGCGGTGAACCCTAAACCGCTATCCTTGTGGCCCATTCCCTTGAGATGGTGCAATTCTTGGCAACCAGAAACCCGGGGATTTCTTTTGTGTTTGGTTTAATGCAATTAATCTGTTATTTACTTTCTTACAAAGAAGTGTCATTTTGAGGTCTGTAGTTCAGATCTAATGTATAATGTACAATCGGTTTGGTATCACGTAAATCATAGAAGCTCAGGCCCCCTGATCTTCCCCCTGAAACGCCGTCAAAATGCTGGGACCCGATAAAAGCAAAGGAAGTGGAAAAACATGTGAACACTCAACGCTTGGGCGGAGGGCCCATCTTGCCCTCGCCCGTATCAGCCTTCCTCTTGAGTGGGATAGCAGGCACCTTGAAGCCGCCATTCTCGCCGCCCTGGGAATTGACAGGACTCTGGTGAGGAGCCTGAGTGAAAGTCCCAGACTTAAACCACCGATTTTCCTCAGCATCGCGCTTGCGCTTCAGTTCCGCTTGCACCTTCGGATCAACCAGCTCCAGACCTTGAACGGGTGTGAAGGCAATAGTACTAGAGGTACCAGCGGCGCCAGGTAGAGACGATCCGACACCAGCTGCACGAATACCCCGTGCCTGAAGAACGCTTGCAGTGCCACTTGCACCGCCCTGGCCAAATCCACGCAACGACGAGGCAGTGCCGCTAGCGGGGGTGTTTGTGCCCCAGCCCTTGTTGTTCTTGCTGAGTCGGGCACGGGTGCGTTGATCGATCTGGGTTGCGCGGATGCGACCATCGTCCTGTTGTCCCAGCATACCCAAGCCAACGGTTCCAGAGCCCGTGCCGTAGCCCACCTCCGACTCCTCCTTGCCGAATGCAAGACGATTCTGTGCCTTCCGTAGTTCCGTCATAGCGACAGCTTCCTTGGCCTTTCGGGCCCGCCAACCACCTCGCTTCCTGGAGGGTTTGTCATCGGGTGCAGGGAGAGCCTTTGTACCGGCATTTGGCGCAGTTTCGGTCAGTTTCTCCAGTCGTGTGTAGCATTGTTGTTTCAGTTCTTCGCCCAGCGAGCCGTCCTTGGCGAAATTGGAGACATCCGCGCGGGTGGCGAGTACCATCTTAGCCGCAACAATTCGAATTCCTTGTTTTCTGAGGTCCATAGGAACTTCTTGGAGAAGTGGCGAGTCGTAGAGGAAACCTTGCGCTCGAACACCGTGATTGGTCGCAAAGCCCAGTCCTTCTGATCTGCGCGATCCTTGCGCACCCAAATTGCAGGAGGGGATCTTAGCTAGTTCAAGCAAGCCACCTGTTTGGTTGAGGAATTGTGCAGCCGTTTCGGCTCCGATGAGGGCTGCCAGGTTAGGGGCGATCTGGTTCATGCGAGACTGGATGCTTGCGGTAAGGGCAGCACGCTCATGATCAAGCTTCAAGATTCTCTCGCATGTATCGAGAACAACCTTGAGCTCGGACTCGGTCATCTCTCGGCCTTTGGTGATAGTTGCTTCCATCGCAACTGCCATCAGAGACGGCCCGTCCAAGACTGACTTAAGCGGGACGCCCACCATGTTCTCCGATGACGTGGACAATGCCTTGATGTCGTTGAAGGGGCCATTTTGAATGATGGCAACCGTCTTCGCGTATTTGATGGGAGTGGTGACAAGTCTTTCGAGCTCGGGGAATCGGATGGAGTAATGGTCGCGCAGGACTTTGTGTAGGCGCGTTAGCTCATCGGCGGTAGAAATAGAGCGATCGAAGTCGTTCGAAGCCTCGGTTCCTTCTTTGAAGTCTTCCTGTTGCTCGGGCTCCTCTTCGACTTCCTCGCCTTCGCCCACATCGAAGTCCTCCTCGTCATCCTCGAAGTCGCGTAGAAGCTCTTCGGCGGTCGACATTTTGACCCAGAAATTATGGAACCGTCCGATGGCGTAGATTAGGTGCGTATTGTCGTAGTCCCAGAACGCCACTGGGTAAACTAGAAGGAGAGATATTCCCAAAGTCTTAAGGGTTGGGAAGAAAAGTTGTGATTAGTCAGAAGGAAGCTGCGTGCGCAGGTGGCGAGAAAGACCAGTGACGCAGTTCGGCGATTTCATTGCGGTTTCTCTGAGCTACGGGCCCGAGCCGACACCAGATTGGGCGCGAGAAACTTTCCTGCCGATTTCTGAAGCGATCGCTGTAGCTGGGTGAATCCAGCTTCAATCTTTCAAACCCCTTCTCTTGCCTAACTCTCATTTCTTGCCCGACAATTTCGACGTCCCGAAACCTCACCTTACATCCTCTTGAGTCGCAGACTACCTCTTGACCGGTATCAGTCAATAAGTACCATCACAATGGAGGCGTCCCGCGGACCTCCCCGGGTCAAGAACAAGGCCGCGGCGCCGGTTCAGATCTCTGCAGAGCAACTGCTCCGCGAGGCCGTTGACCGGCAAGAACCTGGCCTTGAGGCGCCGACACAGCGCTTTGCCGATCTTGAAGAACTACACGAGTACCAAGGTCGGAAAAGAAAGGACTTCGAAGACTATGTGCGGCGAAACCGCATTAACATGAACAATTGGATGCGCTATGCCGCCTGGGAGCTTGAACAAAAAGAATTCCGTCGAGCGCGATCCATCTTCGAGCGTGCGCTCGACGTCGATCCGACCTCTGTGGTGCTTTGGATTCGCTACATCGAAGCTGAGATGAAGACCCGGAATATTAACCATGCCCGAAACCTCCTCGACCGTGCTGTGACTATCCTCCCCCGCATCGACAAGCTCTGGTATAAGTATGTCTACATGGAGGAGACACTAGGCAACATTCCCGGTACCCGTCAAGTGTTCGAGCGATGGATGTCATGGGAGCCGGAAGAGGGTGCGTGGGCCGCATACATCAAAATGGAAAAGAGATATAGCGAATTCGAACGAGCACGCGGCATTTTCCAGCGGTTTACTGTCGTCCATCCCGAGCCCCGGAACTGGATCAAATGGGCCCGCTTCGAGGAGGAGTATGGCACAAGTGACTTGGTTCGCGAGGTTTATGGTGCGGCTATCGAAACGTTAGGGGAGGACTTTATGGACGAGAGGCTCTTTTCCGCCTATGCCAAATTCGAGGCTAAGTTGAAGGAGTATGAGCGTGCACGAGCGATTTACAAGTATGCTCTAGACCGACTTCCGCGGTCTAAGGCTATGGCCCTTCACAAGGCCTACACGACCTTCGAGAAACAATTCGGTGATCGTGAAGGTGTGGAGGATGTGATTCTGTCCAAACGCAGAGTGGAGTATGAAGAGCAGCTCAAGGAGAACCCTCGCAATTATGACATCTGGTTCAGCTTTGCACGATTGGAGGAAATTTCGGGCGACCCAGAGCGGGTGCGGGACATCTACGAACGGGCCATTGCACAGATTCCCCCATCACAAGAGAAAAGACATTGGCGCCGCTACATCTATCTCTGGATATTTTATGCCGTGTGGGAAGAAATGGAAGCGAAGGAGATGGAACGCGCCGGGCAGATCTATCAGGAATGTCTGAAGATCGTCCCACACAAGAAGTTCACATTTGCCAAAGTCTGGCTCATGAAGGCACAGTTTGAGGTTCGCCAAATGCAGCTGCAAGCAGCACGGAAGACATTGGGCCAGGCGATTGGAATGTGTCCGAAGGACAAACTTTTCCGTGGCTATATCGAAATTGAACAACGGTTGTTCGAGTTTGCACGGTGCCGTACTTTGTTCGAGAAACAAATTGAATGGAACCCTTCCAACAGCCAGTCGTGGCTGCAGTTTGCGGAGCTGGAGCGTAGTCTGTTCGACATGGAACGGGCGAGGGCCATTTACGAGCTTGGCATCGAGCAATCGACACTTGACATGCCCGAGCTTGTGTGGAAGGCTTACATCGACTTCGAAGAAGAGGAATGCGAGTATGAGCGAGTTCGGCAATTGTACGAACGTCTCCTTCAGAAGACCGATCACGTCAAGGTATGGATCAACTACGCCCGCTTCGAGGCATATGTGCCAGCCGAGGAAGAGGAAGAAGAGGAGGAGGAGGTAGCGGAGTTGAGCAAAGATGCAATCATCCGCGCGCGTGCAGTCTTTAGTCGGGCAGACAAGGTGCTCAAAGACAAGGATCTCAAGGAAGATGTAAGTTGTTACTTCCATGATCCACACACTATTCGGTCTGTTCTAACCTGTATACAGCGTGTGAATCTTCTCAAACAGTGGAAACAATTCGAATACCAAGCTGGATCGCCCGAGCATATCGACAAGATCGAAAAACAGATGCCCCGAAGTGTCAAGAAGCGCCGCAAGTTGCAGGACGACCAGTACGAGGAGTACACAGACTATGTGTTCCCCGCAGACGATCAATCTGCTGCCAATCTTTCTCGTCTGTTGGCAAAGGCACACCAATGGAAGCAGCAGAACCAGTCCTAAAGCTTGTGGTAGCTTTCATTTTACAAAATCAATTGATTCCCATATTTACCACTACTTAACACCTTAGTTCCTTTCAATCATGGAAACATCCATGCAAAGCCCATGGTCATGGGGACTTCATGTGTTATAATAATCAGACCAGAATACCATTTCCGATGTCTGCGTGTGACAATGAAACCGGACCATGTACTCTCATTCAATCGAATCGGTGTCGCCGGCTAAGCGGCACTAACTGATATGTAGTTTATGATCCTTAATCTCGAACCGACATAGGCTACGTCGAACTGTGACAACATAGCCTGGGATAGGGCAATAGCCCTGACTGACGTGAGGAGTTCTTCTCGAGTCATGACAGGCCCTGTACACTAAACCCCGTATAGCGGCCACAAATACAGCTACATCGTGTTAAAGAGAATCGATTGTAGCCGGGAAACCCTAAGGTTTCGGTCTCATTACCCCTATTCTCCACCTCATCCTTCTTATCCTTATATAATGTACGTTTCATCGACCTCTTCTCTCTGTCTCTTCAATTGCTCGCGAAAGGCCAGAGTATACTCATTGGGGTCCCATACTAGAGCGCTGGTTTCCATCTCTTTCAGCTTTCGAGCCACCAGTTGTTCCATCTCATATTTTTCCTCTTCATCCAGCAGGTTGAGTCTCTCTTTCCATGCTCCTTCCGGGTTCTCAGTAGGCCCGAAAAAGCGTGGGTCGATCTTCTGCCAGTAGACCGTATCAAAGGCGAAGCTGTGCAACACTGCATTCATTATCCAGAAATCACCATTCTCCCAGCTTTGGCCCATAGGACCGGAGAGCCGCTGCTCCTCTCTCAAACTGCCCTGTTGGATCGCTATGTCTTCGCAGTCCTTCATCACCTTGAGGAACGTCTTGAGACGATACTCTCGTCCAGTCTCAATGCCCTTTGACCAGTATTCTGGTTTCTCTATAAGCAGCCACCAAGGGGGCGAATAAGAACGTTCAGCAGGTGCCGCGTATGTGAACTCCCAGTCCACGACGCCGACAATCTGCATGTTCTCCTTGTCATTGAGCAGTACATTGGCCGGGCGTAGATCATCACACTAGACTTTGAAAGGCCCTTTCTCCAGTGATGGATTTGTGAGCCGCTTATCCTTGGCTAGCCTACGAAAAAGCTTCCAGGCCACAAATTTCCGCCGACAGTCATCTGCAGACTCCACCGCATCGTTCCTTTGATGCGTCAGGTGCTCAATGTTGAGATCCGCAAGGGCTTCGGGATATGAGGAGGCTGTATTGAATTTAGTATGTAGATCGGGGAGCTTCGACCGGGGTAATCCTCCCAGCTGTACAAGTCCATTCATGTTCATTGATAAAGACCGCCGCGCTACTTTCCAGACGAAGTCATCGATCTGGCTCAGAGAGCCTATATGAGGAAAAGAGGGTGTGGAAAGCCGAAGCAGAATATCCGCCAACTGCCCATAGAGCATCTCAAGCTTATCTTCTCCGATGTTCAGGTCTAGAATTCCACCTTCCTCTATCGAACATCCCGGTGTGTTGAGGGCATCGTACATTTTCGTTTCATGGTCGATATAATCTATTATGATGAATGGGCTTAGTTGGAGGGGGCTCTCCTTCTTTGTACCCGAGTGGATAATAAAAGGGACGGGTATCGAAGTCCGATCCGCGAGAAATCGCATCACAGCAACCTCATTAACGACTTTCTCCTCAGGGAGAAAACGGCACCGAGCTGTGACAGCCGTATAACCGTCGCACCACCCCCATTCCGGTACTTCAACCGCAAGGAGATATTATAGGATCCTTTCCTGAGTATGGCAAACTCGGTGGCGACGCCCTCTTTTGTAGATGAGGACGAAGTCTGCAATCGGTCGTAAAATGTCAACTTCAAGAAATTGAACTAGCCAAAATTGTCAGATGTCTCTTCGGCTTGTTCCCAGACCACATCATCATGGCACATTCTGGTTTGCACGATTGTGTCGTAATGTAGAAGAAATAATGTGGAAGAAGCTTCAGTGAAATCGAAGAAGCGTAGGTTAGATTTTATGGCAAGGCGTATTTATGTATTTAGGACGAAGGGATGCGGGATCTCCGTTGGTTGTAAGGGTAAGGGCAAATGCGTAAACCTGTCCACGGTGGACCCGACCGTACATCCGCTTACATATTTCTACTGGAACACCTGGTCAGCCGACAAAGTAGATCATGAGATGAGAGTAGCTGTGTATACAATTCTTGAATATATTAACAATTAATCCCTGATATCATCCAAAACACGAAGTCTCAGGAACATATCCACAAGCTCCACAGCCCCACACTATATGGCCCACCGCACCCCCGAGGTCCTTCCTTCCACTGCGTTTGATATTCCCCTATATAACACGTTGTTAAACACTTCATCATAGAGCTTCGTTTGTTTCTGTTTCAAGTAATTTGGGATATGCTAGCACCTGTATAGGCAAAGGATCTACTGAAACCCCAAGTAGCGACATCGAATATATATACTGGGCATGATGCTAGCTAAATCCCTATTGAACGGGGTGTTGACTCTTAAGACATTGACCACGATGGTTATATTGATGCTAAATATGAGATATCACAGCGATATAGTGAGCGATCTCTTGCTGCTAGATATCTCGTGATATATTGATCGTTAAGGACAGTGCCGATTTGTGCCTGCGGGTGGTTGATACCTATAGTCGATAATCGTTCGCCTCAATTAGAACATGTGACATGTTTTAATTCTTGGAATGAATCGAAGCCCTCTTCAGAGATATTCATTTGGATACTTGTAAGAAGCGACACTTTCAGACGCCTCGAGCGTTTGGCTTGTCTTTGTCAGGCAAGTCATTCATGGCGACCCTGGTTTCAGGGTAACTCCCCATTGGGAATTCTTTAATACATCTGCATCTTTGAACCAGACTACAGCCAGTGGAGGCATCTATATATAGAATAATTTGCGTACAAAACAATAGGTAACGGTGGGATATTCGGGTCAATATATAGAACGGCGAAGTAGAGAAGTCTCTAGTAGAAACTGCAAACTGAGACTATATAGACCATCTAGAAGATGCTATAAAATACGAACAAAGGAAATCCAAGATCGTCCAGGTGGTGACTTTTGGAGGATTCATTAATAATCAATATTTGGGGCCAATCTATATAAGGCGAACTAGGGTTTGCTGCATCAGGATTTCCTGAATAGGGAATTAGTCCACCTCACAAAGGTGTAAAAATAAGACCCCAAACAGAGAATCTATATTTGCATACGCTAAGATATGAAGTAAAAATGTATATTGGTAGTCTTTCAAAAGGATGGTGGCGACACGACAAGGGTGTCCATTGAAGATGACGACCACCGAACAAAGGGAAATTCGAATAACTTCTTTTGAGGATACTGACTCTAGCTAGTTGGGCATATATAAGGTAGTACTAATGTCTGACCTGAGCCATCAACATCGAGCACTATGACACAGCACACATACCTAGGTATCTTTCTCGACTTTCACCTGACGAGCTCACCATTCAACAAGCATTGTTCTGCATTCTACACGCAATCTTCATATCCACCGCGACAGTCATCGAGACGGCAATTCTGCTCTGCTCGGCATCGCTTTTATACCTAGCTTAACTACCTTCCAATCCTACCACGAATAGTAAGTTCTCGCTCCTATCGACCTTGATTGCTAGGCCTTAACTAACCCTTTTTTTAAAAAATAGTGGGGAGCCATATTAAAGATCAGCTTGTCGATGACATTTGTGAAATCTGCAAGAAGGATTTCTACGGCACAGCCAACACATGCTCGTGCGGTGATCGTTGATTTTTGGACCTGGGTACCACAGTGGCTTGGAATGACTGCAGAAGCCTAAGGTTGTAGGGTCCCTGGAGCGATGCAATAGAGAATAAGTTAGTATGACATGAACACTCGTTAGTACTATGAATTCGAAACTAGTCTATATGCTGTACACTTGCGATCAAAATTGGGAAGTCGTAGGTCTTTTCGGTTCCACAAAAGAGGACATTCCTGATTCTAAAAGCCTGTGAGTCGAACATTGCAAGAATTGGAGAGACCAAGAAATCAATATGTGTACGGACTATAATTGAGACAGATTCCTTTCCAAGGTTAGGTAAATTTAATATTAAGCCTTTGGCAGTGTCCGTATGAAGTACCTTAGTCAATTATCAATTATAGAGAAGAAGCGGCACGCCAAGGCGCCAGAGTTTTGGAATTTCCGTGGGTCCAACGGACAAGAACCACGGGTCTGGAGAGGGGGAATCTTCCAAGGTTCCAAGGTGTCTGTTTATTTTTTTCGGTTTTATTTATGTTGTTATGAGTTCTCAGTACAGAACAGAGTACATCAAAATTGTTATGTCCTGCATCTGCAGTCTCCCTTGCTGTCAATACATTCAGAGTTCCGCCCTAGAAGCATTGGAAATCAAGGAAGTACTAACTGCCAGTAAAACGGGGTCCAGGTACACTCGTGGTCCCACTTCATCAGGACCGCTCACGGGAGAACCCCCTAATCAATATACAATATAGAAGAGAAGAGAAATTGATGAAGGTGAAAAGAACCAATAAGAATGAGCAAAATAATGAGAATGCTTCTCAAAATCCAATCAAAATGAAATAACCCAAAAGCCAAATTAACAGGCACCAAAAAACCAAACGAAAAAAACTGAACGAATTGAAAATGACGAAATAATTCCCTTTAAGGGATGGCGTTGTTCGCTAACCCCTAAGCCGTCTGCTAACCTCCTCCCAGGAGCCGTTAGGGGGTTGAGAGGCCCTTCTCCCTGTTTCACTTGGTGGTTTCTGTTTCTGTTCTCTCCTTCTGCTGTTCTCTGCATTTACACTCGTGCTGTGCACTTGATACCTTAGCCTTTCTTTTCGCCAACCACCCTCCATTCGCTTAATCGGGTTTTGTTGGCCTTTTTGTTTTTCTCACCTCTCGACTGGATCGCCCAGCCCCTCAAACCCGTGTGATTACTCGATGTTTTCTTTGACCGACGCGTCAGTGTTGTGATCCCATTGTTGACACATCTGAACCACTGCTCTGATTGTGTCATCCCGAGTCGCCGAGTCATCTGATACGCGGTCCGCCTCAATTTCGCCCCGAGAAATTGAGATCGCAGTTGATCGCGCGTCTAGCAGTCAAGAACCTGTATTCACATTGCCTGTTACCGCGTCAATTCAGATCGAGTGTGGTTTGTTGGCATTTTTCGCTCAACTGTCCCGGTCGAGATGAGATAGTGCTCTGGCAGTCACCTTTTCTTCTCTAATTGGGTTATTTCAAGTCTCTTGCTGGCTGGCTACCTACCTTCACTACCGGTCCGGAATCAATCGCGACTTTGAACCCTTCAATTCGAACTAAACATGACTGGCCCCAAACCCCTAACCAAGATCGAGGGCGATTGCTCCACTATCCACAGCAATACCCTCTACGTCTATTCGCCGACTGGCTTTGCATCAATACCTCTCAAAAAGAATGGGGAATGGAAGCCACTCCCGTCCCCACAGCACATGGTTACTGGCCCTGCCTGCGTCCAGGGTGGAGCCGACAGCGTCGAAAATGACGAAGCCAAGGAGGCATTCTATCTGGTCGGCGGGACCGGCTCCGACGGCAACAGCGGCCTCCAACGCTTTTCGTTCAGTACACAGAAGTGGGAGACATTGCCCATGAGATCAGCGGATATGAAAGATCGGACTGGACATGGCGCGGGATACATTCCCTCAACTTCGCAAATATTAGTTTACGCAGGAAACACAGATGGCAGCACACAGATCTCTCAATCGACACTCCTCATTTCAACAGAGCCGCCCTTTGACATCGAGTCTGGGGTCCCCCAGGGCGAACCCGCGTTATATGAGCCCATCATTTTGCCTTGGAGTTCTTCTGAGCTAGCCTTGATTGGAGGCTCCGTCACGAATACTGCTATCTTCATCTATCAATCCGCAAATAAGCAAGGCTGGACCATCTCAGAGGCGACCCTTCCCTCTGCAATCCAACCCAAATCTCTATGCGCGCTCGCCTCCGACTCCGGGACCAAGGTCCTCGAAGAGTTTAACATGGTCGCTTCCCCAAATAGTGTCACCAGCTACCTTCTTAGCTCGAAAGGAAAGGTACAGAATCCGGTCACAGCCATCGCATCCTCAGAAAAGAGGGATCTCACCGATTCTTACAACGGCACATTCGCCCCGACGGCATCCTGGTCTGATTATACCCTCGCCCAGGGTAATGGCTTGGTAGTTCTCGCCAGCGGCCAGAGTAACGACTCATTGGCAATCTTCAACCAGACTTCCAACGCATGGATCAATTCGACAGAGCTGTTCTATGGAAAACGAGATCAGCATGTCCTCAAACCATCCACCACATCATTCACATCATCTACTTCGACATCAACCTCATCATCCACATCCACATCGACCTCGGCCTCAACTTCGCCCACTTCATCATCTCCAGTTGCGGCTGTAGCTGGCGGCCTGACTGATCATGGCAAAATGATTCTTGGCGCAACTCTTGGGAGTATCCTAGGATTTGGCTTGATCCTGCTCATCATTCTTTTCCTACTGCGACGCGCGAAGAAGAAGCGACAGGCAGCCCAACCCGGTGGCGGTGGCGATGGCAAAGACCGCCTAAGCTTCCAGGATCAGGGCATAGAACCCCTGACCGAAGGCGCTTACCCAATGGCAAGATCTCCTGTCCCACTAGCCGCTGCTTCGACCGACTCATTGGCGATCATGTCCGGAAACTACAGAGAGAAGTCCCTCAAGCCACCTGCTAACACCGGCTATGGATTGTCTCAGCCCAAGAGCAGCAGTCCACTCTCTACAATTCCCTCCAGTGGTGCCATGGGTGCATCAAGCGTATACACCGATGACACCAATCGGGCTGGCGATGACACCGGACATGGAAACCAGGCTGCTGACCGACTGACCGACGAAGGGTGGGGGAAGTACTTTGAGGACGGCGGTGTCACTAACTTCCAATCCGACCGCTCGACTGTCAGTTCCGCATACACCAAGTCCGATTACCGCGGAAGCGGCTGGCCAATGACTACGTTGACACCATTGAATTTCGGCTTCCTCGACCAGCCCAAGCCACTCGGCCACGTTTTGAGCGGCAGCCCGACCACGGAAAACGGCCCATCTGAGACGGGTACTCGAAGTCTGGTGATTCCGGAGAGCCAATCGGCACGAATCTCCAGTGCAGATTCAATCAGTATCGCCTCGGACGACGACCGCCATGATTCAAAGTGGCAAGGTGCGGGCCAGAGCAGCTGGCTTGGGCGTCCCACAAGCAGCAACTACACTACCAGCTTTTACCAGACGAGCACGAAAGACATGCCTTGGGAATCATCGAATGGCAGCCTCGCAGACAAGGGAAGGCAGTCCAATGCACGAAGATCCAGCGTCATCATACCACACGACATCGACGAACTTCCGGTGCAAGGGCAGAAGAACAATACCAATTCAGATATGAGCTGGCTCAATCTCAAGGCTGACCGTTAACATACATTCGCCCCATTCCGACTTACATTCCATTAGGAGCCCAACTCTCCCATACTCTCTCTTCCCTCGGAACATACCTACCTCGCCAGTTCATTTGGCGACTCTCTTATCTCCCTCATCCATTCCTTTCATGGCGTCTCCGTGGCTACTGGTGTCTTGAAAAGCCTTTGTTTTTTTTTTCTCCTTGCATTTGACATGCTGCATTTCTATCTCCATCCAGCATCTCCATTTTACGTTCGTGTGTATGAGCGATTCCCTAGCGTTGTGCCACACTTGTTGAACCGGTTGCTCTTCTTAATTCGTTTGACTTCATGGCTGTGCCTGTACTGTGCTGGCCTAGTCGTTCTTGTATGGGTGTTGTGTTCATGTTATTCTGTACATATCTCGATGAGAGTGTAAATCACTTATTGAAATCAAGCGCATGCTCCAGCCATGCCCTATTGAAACGACTTGCGTGATATCCATTACTTCAAACATTAACCATTATCGTATATTAATCGTGAATCATAAGCATCCAGCCACCTCACGGAGATGTACTAGGAATCTCTTCAATACAGCTTCGCCAACAACGAATGACGTTTCGAGACCTTCCTAAACTCATCAACCATAGGGCTGAGCATCCTCCCACCCCCATCATCGATCTCCATCGGCTCCAAAGGCGTCGAATCCATCGCCTTAAGAAGCGGAATCTTCTCCTCCGTCTTACTCCGAATGTAATAATGCTCATCATCCTCCTCCATCCCAATATACCACCTCTCCTTCAACTGTTCCCCCCAAGGCCCACACCCACAAGCCCCCTCCAACTGCGTCGTTTGCGGACTATTCACAGCGAGTGCGAACAAATTCTGCGGCTCCGTGAAATCAGTCACCTGTCGACCGCGCGCCTCGACAATCATAAACCCAAGACAGACAGCGCTGGTCAAGAACGCAAACACAAGAATCACGTAGAAAACTCCCTGCCACTGCTCCGTCCCACCGGAAGCATACCCAACAGCCTGGATGGAAGCATTGAAAACCTGGTAAACAGGTTCGGAAAGCACATTCCCATTCTCGATACTGTAATTCCAAAACGGCACGAACGGCGCATTCTGCGAGCTGACGATAAGAGTGCTCCCAGCCATGACCGCCAACGCCTCGGCAATAGATGGCAGAGTCGGGTCCAGCGCAAACGTCCCCTCGTCCTTGTCAAACTGCGGGATCATCTGCATCAGCAGTCTGGCATTGCTAGCCGCCCCGTCTGAAATACCCGCATTCAAGCTGAGAGCATTCGCCCACTCCGACGCGATATTCTTCCAGTCTGGATCCCACTGGCCCTCTGGGGAGTCGTGTCGTCTGTCGTACTGGAGCCCGTTTGAGGCGTTCTCGCAGTTCGTGCTGAGGAATGCGCCGCTCGTGTCGGCGGAGTACTTGGTCGAACACGCGCCTGTTTGTTTCCCGCGCAAAGAGCACATCACGTACTCTGGTGTGTTGGTGTCCTTGGATGGTGGCGTTGCGCCCAGGAGGTAGATGGCGTTTGCGGGCCAGGAACCTGTTGTGTTGAGAATTGTGTTGTAAGGGAGTGGGTATTTGCCGAAAATGGGTGGCACTTGGCCGTATTTCGGACCGAATTGGAAGAGAGAGTCGACCACTGTGCGGTTTAGCCATGGGGGGTGCGGGATGTCGTCTGGGCGTGAGATACTCCAGGTTGTCATGTTGAATTTGTCGCTGCCGGGCCAGGATGAGTAGACTAAGGGGCTGAGCTCGTCCTTTGTCATTCCTATGCAGAGGACGTTGACGACTGGAGAGGGGACCGAGGCTTCGATGTTGTATTTGCCTTCGCCGGAGGAGTCTGTAGGTTGTTTGAGTTTGTTTTTGGAGTTCATTGCTGCGCCGGGGATGCCGCCGTGCGGCATTGCCATTGTTATGTTGTTGATCATTCGGCCGTGTTTCTTGGAGAGCGTGGACATGTCTTGGATGTTGATCCAGTTGCCTGTCACTGTGGTGTTGTCCCAGAGTGAACCTGTTGGCTGCGGGCGCTTTTGGAGTTCGCTTGAGGTTTCATTGTTGCGGGTTACTAGTTGGCTCCATTGGCTTATCCATTGCTGGTAGTTATGATATGCGTGGCCGACGTGTTCAATTTGAATGCAGGTCGTGTTTCGATAATGCGGGTCCATACTGTTGGTGACGGGTGTCTCGCAGTTTGATGCGATGTACTGCGGGTTTCCGAAGCTGGAGATTACCTTGCCCTGGAGTATCGTTGGCTCAACAGGACCAAGAGAGAGTTTGGGAGCAACTGTCGTCGATTAGTGTCTGGCATGATTTGTGGATAGAAGGGAAAAGATTTACCCAAAGCTTGCGCTGCAGTTGTGTAAAGCATCGCAACGAAAGTTGAAACCAACGCAATCGACCCGAGGAAAGTAAGCGCCGAGTATCGCAGCGCCTCCCAATGCACAATCATAGATCCCGGTTGCATGATCCAGGCCCTCATATTCATATCCGAAATACTGATTCCTCGAGAATCCCTCATCAAAGCCCTCCGGCTAAGCACCTGCCCCAGAAACGCGACGCAAATCGTAACATAAGCCAACTCGATCGTCTTCGCAAAGAATGCGCTCAGCAAAGTTGCTGTAGATGGAGCCAAGGGCCCATCGCTGGAGACAGTCTGCCATCGGGGCTTGCGAAGCGCAATGCCAAGATAGATACCTGAAAAGATGGTGGCATAGATAGCGAGGACCAACACTGTCAACGGGACCCAGGAGAGCCGTTTCTGAAGCACGGTTGATCGGTTAGGGCACCGCACATGGGCATGGGCATGTGGAGTCTGCGGAGTCCGCGGAGACTGAGGAATCTTGTAGGTATTTGGAGTCGTAGTCGCGGTGCTATCGGTTGAATGGCGCTTGTGTGTCGGGCTTTCTGCCGGAATGGCGTCGCCTGATGAGTTCGAGATGCCCAGACCAACATCGCGCAGGACTTCTTCGGACCAGGTGTTGTCTGAGGGGGCATGGTAGCGATAGTCCGAGTCGGTTAGGCGATTGTTGAGTGGATTCCAAGACCGTTGGGGTTGAGCGTCGATCGAATCTTCGGATAGCAGTGAGTGCTGCGACTCCCGCGACGAAGCCATGGTGGAACGTGTACAGACACGAAAAAGGAAAAAGGAAGACCTTATTAAATCGAAAACGCGTTCTACATTAATGTATAAAAATAGGGAAAAGGGGTCCTGGTCTTGGGGCTGAAGTGGAGGGGCCAAATCTAATCTCCTTCCACAGTAAGCTGTTCAGCCGCTTGGCATGTCGCTTTGCGCATTTGCTAATTTAGGGGCTTGATTAGATTTAAAATTCTAACATTGGAGCAGACTGATGTTCATTTACTTACGGACTAGTTATTTTTAGATAGGTCCTAGACTATAGCATAAGGCCGAAAGACCGTTGCGCCTGTTAACCGCACTCTATTTACTATATCTGCTATGTTACTACATGTGCTTACGTATGGACTGCCCATGATTCCCCTGCACGATCGCAAATGGAGCGAATATAGAGTGAGGAGAACGGCGGAAGAGTCCGGAACAACGACAGCAAGCCCATTCTTAATCCTTGTCTGTTCGGTCGAATGTTGTTGGGCTTCCCCCTCATTCAATGCATATGATCATACAAAATACTACCTAAAGTGATATTATCAAGCGCGTGCCTGAGCCAATTAGACACTCAACACTAGCGCTTCCATGCTGTCTAGGCATGTGGAATCTTATTCCCTGTGACCTGATGTGATCTGGTTGAAAGCCCGCAGATTTGTCCCAACTACTTCGATAGTGGATCTCCGTCGTAGATGGCATATGGGGACTCGGTATCCTCCGTTAAAGGAATATTGACGGTGCTCGAGTTCCTGGATTGTCTGATGGTACTGGCAACCATGATCTGACCGTGGTACAGGGGTCCGGTGGCTGGGGGAAGCCATTGCTCTCGATTGGCTGCCACAAGGCACACCGGCTTGATACCCTGTCAATGTTAGTGGTTAGTTGTATGGAAGTAATGGTTGGCTCATGTACTGCTGCTCAGAAAGAGAAGTAGACCAGCCACAGAGGTCACCAAACATATCTCTCCATTCCGGCCCTAATTTGCAATTAAATTTAGCTTGCCAACGGTGTAAGGGGGCCACAAGGTCCTCAGCGCGCTTGATCTGCTCCGCAATTTGTTCCGGAATCACATTGAATCTCGTTTCCTTCAAGTAGCCTCCATGAATCGCAGCAACTTCGCGGAATCATGTTCACCATCCAGCGCTATTGACGGGCTTCGTCTTTCGTAGAAAGGCCACTCAAAGTGTTTAGGAAAGTATCCGGCGTCTCCCAATCGATAATAGCCCGGATTTTCAATGTTTGAGGATCGACAATGATATCATGCTGGGAAGATCATTGCGGCAGAAGACATATTCGCCATCTTTAGACACTTTCAGTGGCCATTCATTTTTGTCCCAGAGCCTCATCACTCGATAAGCTGGGAGCATTATCCCTGAAGGGCCACCAATAGTGCCCGATTTGATCCCACGGAGGATGGATAAGTACTGCTCGATTTCAGGACGGACCACACTTTTTTGATCTTCCGATAAATCTGATATAGACACGCCGTCAATGTGCTCTGTAATTACTATGAACGAGTTGTCGACCTCGAAAGCACCGTACAAAGTCGGAACAGGGATGTTTGCTGACGCGTCTACTGAAACGCAACGTTGCGGCCTCGTTGTGGAGTGGTTCTTTTCCCAGTCGGGGGATGTGTTTGGTGCCTCGAATGGTGGTCTTGAGGCATCGGTGTGCATGCAGGTGCAGGATTAATCAGGACCTAGCCCCGGGGGCACCTCCAGTGCTGGGAGCCTTGGGCAAAGTAATACATGTGTCAACCTACGTAGTAGATGTATGGGCTCATAGACCACTAGCATTCACACCATTGAGACACATATCCTTCATTCGTGTACTGGACATGCT